GGGGGGGGGGGGAGGGTTGATGATTTCATATCCGAAATTGAGACATCTACGAGTCTAGACAATATTAAAGCAATCTATATACAAAAGTTAACTTATATATACTGGTAATATAAAAGAAATTCTTACACGATCATTATATCTTTGTTGGTTGTAATTAACTTGTACCAAGTCAGTAAACATTTCTTGTAGGTTATTAATCTGCGATTTCTATTAGAAAGTAACCTGATTGTGCATATTTCCTTACTACACTAACTCGAACTTTAAATCTTAAATTCGCCTATTATGCTGAGTGTTATATTTTTCATTCTTTTGTACAATATTTCAATGGAATTGCAGATTCAAACAGAAGATCAAGAAATGCAAATAGTTCTTCTCCAACAAAAGACATTAAACCAGAAAAACCAAGAACATCCAGGAGACATTCTACTACAGAAAATGGCACTCATGATTCTACAAACAAAGAACCTGGAACCAAATCCAGGAGTTCCAGGCGACATCATAACAAAGAAACAACATCCGATGGTCATAAATCGAGTGAATCTTCAGCTAAAAACCAGCCCGATATCCCCAAAAAATCGCGACGAAAGAAGTCGAAGGAGGATGGTTCAGCCTCTGGCTCGACTCGACCATCAAGATCTAAATGCACTTCTTCTAGTACAACACAAACTACAGATTCATGTCCTGGACAGGAAAGGGAGAGTGAGAGTAGTGAAATTTCTAAAGAAAAACAAGAGGAGTGAAAAAAAAAAAAGAATGTATTTGAAAAGTTTTTATTTTTTTTGGCAGTTTAGTGAATATCACAATTATTTGAAACCACAAAAGTTTTCATTCAAAATTGTAGAGTATGTGTATAATCTAACATTTTGATACCATGTTCATCATGTAGATTCATTTCCCATTTTCATAGTCATTATTTTTCCTCAGCCATTCAATTTCATTATTATGAATTTATGAATGGTTCTTGCCTCTTCGAGACAGGGGGATCCAAAATTTGGAGTTTATAAATTTTTGTAACGACCACCTCGAGTAAAATTTACAAACATAACTGATTTTAGAGTCAAATATTTATATATGTAGAGAGAGAGTATTTGGACAAAAGCTACTGGTTCATGTGAACCTGTAAACGATGCTCTAAATCTGCATTTGTTTCGGGAGCACATTATTGCCCTGTATCCACCTTAAATGAAGCTGATTCAAGATTTTAATGTACATATCCAAAGAGGGTGCCTGCTGAATTTCACATACTGTCAAATTTCTACATTCATGTGTTAAAATTGACAACTGATGCGCTCATTCCTATGGTTATTTCTTTAATACTTCTGATTTTCGGGAGTTTTTTTATAGGATACTAATGTCATGATGCGCTCATTTGCTGTTTTTTTAATACTTGCGGCTCTTCGAAATCTCTTTGTAGGATACTTGATCAAATTGTGACACGTTAGCCCGTAAGACACAACATCACAGTGAATAAAAATACCAAATCTTTCCGACATTTTTTCTTTGAGGTCCACTACTTTGTTTAGTTCTGTCCGAACATCTTCCCACCAAATGCATTGACAAAGGTATATTTTCTGTTTCTTTTTACTGAAAAGTTTAATATACTAACCTTGAGTTTGCCACATTTAAAGCAATCATACAGACTATAAAAGGTCCTTTATGTTAAAATTATAAAGTGTAACTTTTGGAAAATTATAGAATAGTGTAGAATATTATAGATAAA